CGCAGCAGTGCGGGGGTGTCTGGCAGACTGGAGAGGAGGCTGAGCTCAAGGTCTGCCCTGAAAGATCCCTGTGGTTTCATTCTTTCGCCTGATGGTTGTTGTTCCGTTTCGTGTTCTACATTTTGGCGGCGGTGCGCCAACTTGTTTCGTGCTGTCACCGCCGGGCTTGTCACTCCTTCTCTAGTGTACAGAGCCACCTCTTCCTCTATCACTTGCTGAACGAACAGCTGTTGCTGCCGTTCATTCGCATAGTTGATGCAGAGCTGCTCGAGCCCGTTCTCCAGCCCAAATGACTCAAACCCGTAGATATCAAGGACTGAAGGGCATGACGCACATACGAGGACAGCTACGATGCGGGCGTTTCCTTTTCCTGGATACCCTTCCGACTCACGATCATGAGCACAATAATGAGCAGCTGGTCACAATGACACTGAATAATGGCAAATATGAAGGTTCATCACTAACATGTAGGGAAGGGATTGCAAGCAGTGTGCAAGGTAGTGTGGTCGGCAAGTGCTGGAGCGCCGCATCTAACGATTCATGCTTACTGCCAATTGTCTTGCTCCCCTTGATAGTTTCCAAATGCTGCTGTCCATGGTTTGCTAAATGTCGTGCAACACTTTCGTTTAGTCGATGCACTATATGATCAAAAAGGCGGCTATATATGAACTTGATTAGAGAACAACGGGCAGTGATGCTTTGCTGTTCATTCCTGTGTGTGAACAGAATGTCTCCTTTCAAAAGCATACGACGACACTGTAGCAAACGTTCGAGTTCCTCTTCCTCTATGCCAAGCAAGAAAGCTGCATTCTTGAGTGCCTCATGAGCGTCTGCGTCCTGCACTTGCAAAACATCCCCGTCGCCTCTTATAAGAGAAACATTGGACAGATTGAGGAGCCCGGCTAGCAGCTGCAGCAACTCAGTGATTTCAGAAGTTGAGAATTCTGCAAGCTGGAAGCCCTTCATCATTAACTCAAAATTTTCCTGTACAGAAAAGCGCATATGCAAAAGGAAGTGCAAGCTCCTGTAAGCATTGTGCGGCATCTAGAAGCAGCTGGCTCCAGAGATGTGAAGCGGTGGAATAAACTGGCTGAACCATCCACCATAATCGTATTTATATGCACCATATACGGCGCCTAGTTGAATCTAGGGGATGCAAGCGTTATGCACAGACGCCTTGCGGACCTGGTCTACTTCGGGCGGAACCCAAGCATTGCCTTCAGCGTCATCTACTCCGCTGAGGTGAGCAGTGTTCTGTTCTTTGTAGAAGAGCTTCTGCAAGAAGTTATGAGAGTCTGCAGGCCTTAACATGCTGTAGGCCCCCTCGCCACTGGTCAACTTCAACGACCTGCGTAGCCCTTCAGTAGTCCCTGGAATAAGTCGCAAGAGGAAGAGGGAGGCTTACGCAATATGCGCTTCACATATGTTAATACGGCTCTATCCACAGGTTCCTTATCGTTCACATAAATGGAAACCAGTCATAGTTACTTGATGCTGGAAATAGACTGGGAGTTTCCCGTTCTATGGGAACCACATATCACCTCTAATGCAAGATGTTTCATACCTCTCAAAAGCTGATGGAAGACATGGAAGTTCCTGTCGCCTCTTTTGTGTGCGGTGATGCGGGAGGCTTCCAGCAAATATGTTCTCAAACTCCCACCCCTAAGAAGGCCTCCGCCGTCAAAGTGGAGAAGCGTGAGTCGACCGATTCGGCTGCTGTTGTGATTCCTTCTTGTGGCAGCGTTTCCGAAGGATTCAAAAATAGCATTGCAAGAAACGATCCTTTTCTGTAGCTCTGTTGCTTCTTGTAGCGTCTGTACACCTCCAAGAAGTGCTGCAACCTCCGTCCGCTGGCCGGATACAGTCTTCGGCGCGCCTGAATCGCCGTGAGAACCTGTTGCACTGCCAGAAGCGCCCGCCAGTGTGTCATTAGGAGATGTGGATACG